GGCATCACCCTTCGTGCTTTTGCTCTCTTTAATCACAATATAATCAATAGATATCGGTACAGAATGGTACATTGTATGGCACGGCATCACCCTTCGTGCTTTACACTCTTTCCTCACAATAGCAAACAATGCACGGCATCACCCTTCGTGTTTTATCACTCTTCCTCACCCAAACAACAATCACAAATAAGGGGCAAGGAAGTAAACGGAATAATAATAGAGATCCCACCAAGGGAACAACAATTAAACAATTAAATTCCCGGCAAGGGAGATATCAACAATTCAACAAACATCCCGGCAAGGGAATAATTCAATAATTCTTTCTCTTTCTTTCATTTCTCATTTTGTAATTCATTTACCACTTGAGCCAATGCTCCAAAGGGTCTAAATATCACAATTTCTTTCACATGCTCTTCACAACATATAGAAATCATCATTTAAGCATGGAAGATACAACAAAAATCAGAATATTCGTAATACAAAGACTCACGATCATGCTAAACACCAACGTATAGATACTCGTCACCATACTTATACGTCGTACTCGACAAATAGCAAGTAGCAAATAAGACTCAACTCTTATTCACTCAAGCTAAAGTTAGACCAAACACTTACCTCGAAGTTCTATGGCCAACTTAATCCTCAAGCACCGTTTTTCCTTTCAAATTTGGCTCCAACTCAATCGTATCTATACACAATTGACTTAATATCAACAATAAATACTAAATAATCCAATTCTAATGCCTAAATATAACTTTCTAAACATTCTTCCAAAATTCCAAAAATCGACCCCGGGCCCGCTTGGTCAAAACACGAGGTTCGGACCAAATTCCAATCTCCCATGCCGATTCTAGTCCACTCATTTCATTTAAGACATGAAATTAGAATCTTTTTCATTTTATTTCGTCAATTTTGGCTAAGAACTCAGAAGTCAAGTTTCATTCACGAGCCTGAATATATAATTTGCTTTCAAATTCGACCCCAAAACGAGGTCTAATTCAAGAAAAATCAAAAAGCTCTAACTCTAATCAATTCTCTAATTTTCTACTCATATTCACATGTTTTAGGACTAGAAATCTAATGGGTGTTGATAAAAAATGGAAGAAAATAAGTTAGGGATTACTTACCCAATAGTTTTTTATGAAGGAAAGCTCTAAGAATCGTCCAAGAGCTTTGAAGAAGAGAGGGTTTGTGAAAAATGCGAAATTTCCCGTAAGTGTTCTGTTTTTGGGTCTTTAAAATCGCTGGGCAAAAATGCCCTTCGCGATCGCGACATGCTGACCGCGTTCGCGTAGAGTCAGGCATGCCAGGCCTTTGTGTTCGCGTACCGTTGGTTGCGTTCGCGATGAACAAAGGCGACCCCCATCCAATTAACCCTCCGCGTTCGCATCACACCGGTCGCGTTCGCGATTAGCAACCTCCTAGTGCTCTGCGTTCGCGACCGTGGCTTCGCATTCGCGAAGAACAATCCACCCCTGCCCCCATTTTACCCTTCGCGATCGCGAGAGTGACTACGCAATTGCGAAGAAGAACATACCTGTGCAGAGATTGCAGATTTTCTGCAATTCTTCATAAGTCCGAAACACTCTGACGCCTATCCGAAACTCACCCGAGCCCTCGGGGCTCCAAACCAAACATGCATATTAACTCAAAAACATCATATGGACTTATCCATGCGATCAAATCGCCAAAATAACATTATTTACATCAAATTAAGCCTCAAGATCCATGATTTCTCCCAAATTTCATAAAACATCAAAATTTCCATTTTAAGTCCGAAACACGTCAAACGACGTCCGTTTTCAACCAAACTTCACAGAAAGTGCTTAAGCCATATATAAGACCTGTATCGGGCGCCGGAACCAAAATAGGGGTCTGATACCATCACTTTCTAATCAGATTTCATTTCCAATTTCCTTAAATATTTTCAGAAAATAATTTTACTCAAAAATTCATTTCTCGGGTTTGGGACCTCGGAATTCGATTTCAGGCATACGCTCAAGTCCCATATTTTCCTACAGACCCTCCGGGACCGTCAAATCACGGGTTCGGGTTCGTTTGCCCAAAATGTTGACCAAAGCCAAACTTATTCATTTTAACACCAAAATTTAGCATTTTTCACAAAATTTCACAATTAAACTTTCCGGCTTCGCGTTCGGACTGCGCACGCAAATTGAGGCGACCATAAATGAGGTTTTCAAGGCCTCGGAAGCTCAGAATGGATAAGAGAACAGGTGATGGCCCTTTGGGTCGTCACAATTTCTTTTTAGAACAAAACTCCTACATCGATACTCACCGCCACAAGTATTCAACCTCCCCCCCCCCCCCCCAGACCGCATTTTCAAATCTGCAATTCTCAATGATTATTTAAGATAAGTAAATTCTCTATTCCTTGAATACTTATATTTATGTGATTGTGTATTAATCTTTGAACTGTATGTAATAAATGAGGACACATCAAATTTTTGATGTGTTACTTTTTAAGTGTTGTGGTGATGAAGACAATGTTTGTTTCTCTTCAAATAATTTGTCCTATTTAGGTTTATTTTTTTACTGAGAAACTTTTATCAATTTATTAATTATTATAACTTATGATTATATGCTTATCATAAAATAAATTATATTTATCATAAAATTTATCTCATCTAAGCACAATTGTATTTAAAATAAAATGACAAATAGAATATTTTGTATTTGGAATCTGGAATCTAAAATTTTGAAGAAATTATGCCCTTATAAGTGGAAATAATTCTAAGGTTATTTAAGTCATTTTAACATAAAAAGAGCTTATCAGCACTTTTTTATCAAATATCGCAGCAACTTATTATCAATTTCAGCACTTGTACCTAAACACATGTCTGTTTATTTATTAAATCAATTTCAACACTTAAAGTATTTTTCAGCACCTAATGCTTATCAGCTACTTCAAATCAGCTAATTCAAACAGGCTCTAAATTAGGTGGGTGTTTGGACCGTAAACTCAGTATTATATTGCTAATAAATTACAAAAAAGAGCAATTTAGTTTAAATTTAAATTCAGAATGTAGTACACCTTTAAAATCCAAGTTGGACCAACAACCTTTTGCAATCACTGATCAGAGAAATTTGGTGCTTAATTGTGTTAATCCCTTTTATATAGTGACTAGTTACTGATAGCCCGTGTTGAGCACGGGCCCAATTACTCTATGCTAAATTTTGGGGTGTAGCTTTATTTTTCTTTCATTTTCTTCTTATTTATAAAAAAGGAGATTTTTTGTTGTACGACTATTGTAAATAAGTAATTACAGTTTGCAACACAACTTTTGTCAATCGGTTATTTATTTCTGATTTCATGAGAAAATCTTCGTAATTATCTCAAGCTAGATACCAGTATCATAGAATAAGTAAGCTAATCATCTATTTGTTTTATGCGATTTAGACTTTAGACTACTTTAATAAAGTGGTATATATACAAATTTGAAACTTTTTACACCGGTAGTCTTTAAAAAAATACTTAGAATAACATAATATATGATTCACCTTTAGAACAATTTCTTCTTCGGTCGAGAAATAACAAGTTTGAATAAATTAGATTTGATCAAAAGTAATTTTCTACAAAGATTAAATTTTTAGCAAGCATTTAACTCAGGTCCATTTCATAAATTGACTGCCCAACGGGCATTATAAAGTGGGTTCGTTGCAACTGTTACTCTAACAATTGAAAAAATAATTCAAATAGCCGACCACCAAACTGTGTAAACTAAAAATAGTCGTTGAAGATATAATATATGCATAATTAATATATATTATATGTAAATAATTATGTATTACCGATGTATATATTATGTATATGGCTAGAAAAAGTAAACAATGAATATGACAGACTATTTGTGTAAAAATCCCAACAATTTTACCTTAGTATAAAAGTGGGTGTACGTGTAACTATAATTTTTTCCTAATACTATCACTTTTATGTCCTTTTTGTGTGTTCAAATAAATTCCAAGAATACGTTAAATTAAATTTAATAGATTGTACAGGTGTTGGTAATGTTGTAAGTGGAAAAATCTTGGACAAAAAGAGATACACTATCAGTAGCATTCCATGAATTTTCAGAAAAAGCTCGGCAGCCTAATTTATGTAAACACATGAGGTAATGCAAGGTAATAAATTAAGATATTATTGTTCTCCTAAGCAAGTGAAAAGTACTAAAATTCAGTGAAGATTATTTGTAATCCTGCGAGTTCATGAATCTTATTTGTAATTTCATTCATATATAAAGATTTTTGTTATACTTATCCGAAAAGGATGCGCTTGACCACCCTCGACATAATGTGGCTACGCCACTGCCGAGTTGCAGGATTTAACTTTTCTATAGACATTTAGAGTTTTTACTTTTCTAGAAAGACTTAAATGTAACTTCAGAAAGTGATAATTAACTTATTTTGCATTTTTTGAATTCTTCTTGCGTTATGATAATTCTTCTGAATAAATTAGATAAATTGATACAAAATATATTCTCTTTCAAAAGTATCCATTGATCCCTTCACCACCCAAATATTATAGATTGTTGAGGAATTAAACCCAATGAAATATACCCCGGACAAATACACAGATAACCATTCTCAAGGATGCTATATAGAGATTAACCAATATTTATTTTGTCTTGAAATTTTAAACTAAAATCTTAACTTCGGGACAATTCAAGACACTTTTGTTCCGAAAAATTGAACTGAAAAACTGAAATTCAGGACGCACGAGCTAATTCTTAAATAGCAGCCCTTTAGAGTGGCTACCTGGTATCATTTCTACAATATACCCCCCACATGGTCCATTAGAACATGTAACTTGGAGCACTTGAACTAAAAAGAAAAACTTCTAATTTTGCAGGCTTCACAATCATTTCAAGAAACATTATTCTCAAGAATTTCATGAGAGCAAAGTTGTAAGTTCAATCCTTAACGCATGCTGTCAATGCTCATTGAATAGCTTGAATGAATACCTCTATATGAATTGTGAACCATAACAACAGTTGAAGAAGCCTATTTCCAGAAAAACTTTCAATAATGTCACATACTTCAACAAACATAAAAAGTTTATTCATGTGGGAGAGCATTTTACAAAGCTGACTAACTAGATCGCAAGTTCAAAGGAAACTAGTAAAAGATTCGACCATGAAGAGAACTGATGGACACAGATATAGATTAGAAAGATAACAGAGGAAGCCTACGATTTGTGTCTAGCGAGGTGGGGTAGCACCCACCTGGAAAGGTTGTACAAGCAATGAACTCCTCTTACACTTTAATCAGATTGAAGCTAGAGTCGCCCTCTTTGGAGTTAAAATGTACATTTCACAGCCATGAGCATCAACCCGAGCACTGAATGAGCCCACAGTGTTCTCCAAAACAACTTCATGCTGCAACATTGCCATGGCGATGAGATCAGAGCAAACTTTTGAAGTAATGAATACATTTCAAGGACATGAGTTCCAGAACATAGAGAAATGAAACCAGCAAACAATGCTTAACTAATTCAGATGTATCAGTGTGAAAAATGAAGTCATTAGAGATCCTGAAGCTACAAGAAACTGGCTACATGCTGTACCAACTTACCTTCCACAAGTCTCTAACAGAGACGCCGATAGAAGATTCTAATCCAATTGCACCCCATTTAGCAGTAATAGTTGCAGCCTTTGAACATCTATTCCAGAGTACTACGGCCAAACGGTTTCCAGACAAGGGACCTGCCCAAATCTGTAAAAAAAATAAAGAACATTAATAATAACAGATTGGTAAAGCATTATTAAAATTTACACTGCTCAAACCACTCTCTGCCCCCACCCCTCGAAAGAAAAAGAAATTATATCCAAATGCATCGCAACAATAATAACAAGAATAACCACAACAAGAGTAATACATCAACAAGTACGCCTCAATCCTAATTAGTTGGGGGCTATCTTAATCCTCTATATCCCGTCCACTCCATTGACCGCATTAATGATTGAGGATTACTGGTTTTGTTGTCTTAATAATACTAATAGTTAATAATGACAACAAACAAAGAACTACTAGTGACAGAATATTCTGGGCAAATTCTACCGATATTGTGCAAGAAAACATCATCTTTGTCCGATCAGTCCAACATGTGAGGTTGGCTGCCTTGTCACTTGAATAATAAGAGGAACTACTGATGACAAAACGTTATTGGCAAAGACTACATGATTTTGTGCAAGAAAACATTGTCATGGCAAGTCAGTTATACATGTGAGGAATGTAAATCTCATAGTGGCTGCCTTGTCACTTGGGGCTGAAAGTTACTAAACACTTATGCACCAAATGGACGAAACACTACACTTGTATGTCGGTGTGAAAGCGTCAAGCAATTAAGCATTCGCGTGGAACACTGGATCTCATTGAAATACACAATCTGAAGCTATACCAGGCTGCAAATATCTCGATGACTTTTATTAATTGAAAAACTGTACTTCGAATTTTTGAACCAAATGCTACCTAAAATATCCTATCAGAAAGACCAAAGTTCGATTAACACCCACTAACCCTCTTTATTTTTTGTTCAATCGTGACGGAGAAGAGCTTGATTGCTTTGCAAATTCATTTTGATGAAGTAATAATATTATTGATGTGGTGAATAAATTTCCCAATGTAGAAGTGGCATATAAACGAGGCAAAAATATGGTTTTCTACATATACCATCCAATCCTCTATGCGATCGCTTTCCAAATTGCTCTATCCAAGAGAATGGAAGTTCTTGTTACATTGAGAAAATTCCACATCAAAATGAAATATTAACACGTAGAGAAAATTTAGACTTCCTTTTTTTGTGATTATTGTCAGAAATCAACCTCTGTATGATCTTTAATTATTTAGGTAGTCTAAGTGAGAAATTTTTCAATCAATTTCTCATAATCCTCCAGCTAAATATTTCAAGTAAAACAAGAAAGTGTTCAACTCAATAAGGTCACTTTATCTGGTAAGCATCAAAGAAATCTTGTGTTTAAACTGTAAACAACAATAGAGCTCTTCATTCATATGTCAGAATACTGATATAAGTAGCTTTCCAAGAGATTATCTTTTTCTGGAAAATCAAAAGATGCTAAATGTAGATAATGAGAAAGAAAAAATGAGAAACAAGGTGCAACTAGACCTGCTCGCAACCATCTGATCCGGAAGCATAAACTCTCCTACCCTGAACACCAAGTGGATCTGTAAAACAGAAGAAGTCATTTCTTATAAATAATTATTTATATCAAAACCATATGCACACCAAAAGTACAAGGAAAATATGAGCATTCTCTGACAGAACAACCTCCTACCATCAAAAAAGGGGTGGAGAAGGGGTTACAAGGAAGACAAAGCTTTTTACCTTGGTCAACAGCGATAACCTCTTTATTGGAAAGAATTTCTAAAGTTTCAGCGGTGATGTTTCTGACATCACAACCAATAATAAGTGAAGCCTACAAATAGAAGCATGATGCCAGTTCATGAAGTAAGAGGGTTGAAGCACACAAAGCCACTGCACTGTCTCTTTGCATGAATAGCCCAACATAAAGCTGAGTTGTTTTCTCATATATGTACCATGATAATTTCTTTTAGAATGGGGAATAAAACAAACACATCCAATATGATGGACTTAAGTAATGACATATACACATTAAAACTTCTAAAAACTGGTCCATCTCCCTATTCTTATCCTTATTTCATTTACACACATGCACCATTTATACCAGCAAACAATTTGACTGAAGAACGGTCCCATCACAAATTTGTCGTCCTAAGGAGAAATTTTTTCGAAAAGGGATTAGATAAAAGTATTCAGTCAGACAATTAAAAAGAGAAAAAAAAAACAAGAGAGGACTCAGAAAACATAAGTATGAGTTTGATTGGGGATTTGCCTTCATCAAAGCCCAAATGCTAAAGTGCCCTTTGTACTCGTGGTAATTCATGCCCCCATTTCCAACCTCAAACATATCAGGATCTGCCAGAAGATAATAGAGAGTTAAAAAAACTCAAATGCTATTCATTCTACACCCCTTCAAAATCTAATGTTTCAGGCCCACTACCTACCGTTCCATCCACCAGGTCCAGCATACGATGCCCACTTGTCATTGATATCAGCAATAGTTGTCATGCTAAAAGAAGTAAAATAAATGAAAGATTTCTGTCAGTATGATGCTTAATAGAGTTAAGTAACAATTCAGAAAAAGCAAAAAAGTTAAGCAGTATGGACAGTGAAGAGTTCTCTTAATGTTAAGTTAAGCTTGCATATTGTTTTATCCAGCTACTGTTCATAATTAGTGTAGAGCTATGATCAAAATCTTCTAAGTTTTGAAGGTACCATACATACATGCATAACTATCTTTATTTACTGTAACAACATCAGATTACAAAATAATACAAAAATAAGATGAAATAAAATAAAAATGTCGTAAGTTAGAACCTAGCCCATGTATCATTGATGTCATCTGTTGTACGCCAACTGTTTCCAATTTTTCCAGCCCATTTGGCAGGGTCATCGACACCCCTGCCAATTTTGAAACAAAGCACAAAGAAAGCCCTCAAAATGCTGGTTAAGAACTCCATTTCAAATCGAAGAAAGTGCTTCGAAGTTACCATTCACAAAGTGCGTAAAATATAGTCCGTCCAGTAGTATTAAGGGCATCACGCATGGGCGGGTGTCTGGGAAACGTCTTAGTAATTAGATCTAATTATACACCTAAACCAATTAACTTAGACCTCACTGACTAAGAGTTGAACCTCTTTTGTGGTGGGAGGCCTAGATTGAAGCAGTTGTCGTACTTCAAATAGTCAACACCCTGTGTAGTTGAACAATCAGAATTTTAGTTAGCAGCTGAAATGTAAATCAACTTCCACATTAAAAGAAATGAAATGAAAAGCAACGCTAATGCTAACATATTAACCAGGATTTACAAGTAAGAAAACTGTGTTACCGTGTATACAAAATGCAATTAACAGTATTAGCTAGTGCTGCAATCAGCATATGTAACTGAATAGCTCTTTTTTCTTTTAAAGCAAAGACAATTAATTCCTCGAAATCACATCAATTCTTATTTCCGTTATCTAAAGGCTAGGATATCCAGAAGAAGAAAATTTCTGAACATTTATTACCATTTGTATATGTAACTCTACTGCTGGAATGGTCATTATTGTGTTTATCACTAAGTTTGGAGACATTCGGTAACAATGCAAGTGTGCGACTGACGAAACAGAAAGGACAAACTAACCCAAGATGCCCAAAGTTCAGCATCATTTTTTTCATGAAACAGTGAGCCAGGTCGAACTTGACATGTAAAAGCCCTACAAGATCCAAGTAACTGAATAGTGAGAAATAGGAGATTGCACAAACACTTTATGCCAGACAGAAAATGTTTTAAACTAATTTCGGCATAGTTCAAAGATAATCAGACAGGGTAGTGGGGATTTGTCCTACCCAGCATCAGAATAAACACCTAGCTTTAGACCCTTTGAGTGCACATAATCAGCTAGAGCTTTAATTCCAGATGGAAAAGTTTTCAGGTCAGGAATCATTTGACCCTGCACAATAATTGGTGGATGATTAGCGTCTCACAAATCCATATATGGTCTGAAACTAAAAGCAAGAGATCATAACCAAGAAACAACCACAGTTTAAATGACGATATCAGTTAAATTGTAGACGCACCTTTAAATCTCGAGTCAATCTGGACCAACAATCATCTATAATGGAGAAAGCATATCAAACTGTCAAGATGTAAACCTCAAAAACAAAAGCAAATTAGTTTCTTCAAATGCTTACCGATGTTGACATAAGTATAACCCAGGCTAGCCAAACCAGTTGATACGGGTGCATCAGCTACCAAAGAGCACTTTCGTGTTATTGAGTAAACATTTAATAATTCAATAAAGGCTCTCATACTTTTAAGCAAACTATCAAAACAAGGTAAGGGAGCTCGGGGCATTTACCTGTTTCCTTGATGACTGTTTCATTAATATTGCAAGCAAAAAAATTCCAGGTACTCCACCTGTCCCAGAAATATGATTAATCACATAACTATAACACTCTTAACTTTTAACATATCAAAATTGTGAACAAGCATAAAGTTTTATTCTAACTTAGCAAGAGTGTCAAGAAAGGCATCTGCCCATATAATTTCGAAACACAGCTCATGGACTTAGCCTTACCCCTTTTTCCTTATATAGTCAGAGAAGGTTAAAAGCCAAAAAAAAAAAAACCGCCCGGTACACTAAGCTCCCATTATGTGCGGGGTCCGGGGAGAGCCGGACCGCAAGGGTCTACGGTACGCAGGTACGCAGCCTTACCGTGCATTTTTTCAAGAGAAGGTTAAAAGCAAGGGCAAAAAAATAAAAGGAAGAAACTACATGGTTTCAACTAAATCTTAGTAATTCATTTCCTAAACTTTCTAGCATTAAAAGAAAACCTAAAACCAACCACATGAACATAGATATAACTTATATATAAGCTCCGAGTGTTGCCAATATAACTTATAAGCTCTTAGTGTTGCCAGCATGTTAAGAGTATTATGTCAATGTGCAAGCAAACTGGCCTAGACACTACCGTTATCAAAAAATAAAAAACAACAAGTAGCAAATATCTTCAAATTGACCATATGATTTTCTTACTTTTCTAAAAGTTGAAAGCTTCATACAAGAGAATTACTAATAAACTGAATCAGAGACAAAATAAAGATTCAATTTTTATACGGAAAAAAAAAAGCAGGGGATGAGTGAAGAAAAGGGGAAGAGGAGAAGAAAATAACGGACCCCATCTGAGGAGTTCGAGCCAAGCCATTGTCGATTTGAAGAACACCATAATTGGAAGTATCATAGAGCTGAGATATGGAGAGTCTATCTTGAATTTTCAAATAAGGATGAATTGGAAACTCTCTTGCCGTGACTGTCACTGACATTAAAAACACAGTCAAAGACACAAGCGTAGCCGCAGTGGCAAGAATGCCAGAGGACTTTGCCATTCTTGAATTTTGGGATTTTGTTTCCACAAATTCTGAAAAAGAGTGGATTATTAGGAGAAGAAAGAAGAAAAAGAAAAGAACAAGTTTGAAGAGGGAAGGAAATGAATTATTTGTAGCTAATTATCCAAAGCATCTTCCTTTTATCCACTCTGATGATAATTAAAATTGGCAGCTAATATTGACTTATTTTTATATTATAATTGGACCGTCCATTTCTTACTTAAAAAAGGATCTTATTTTATTGGGTGTTAGCCTTGTTCTTTTGATTTGTGTTTTTGCTGCACACTTTTCGCTCCCGGGGAAAAAGGAAAATACTATGGGCATGGATCCGATAAGTGCATCCTCAGTATTTTTATTTTTGCGATCCTTAAAAAGTTGACCAGAAAAAAGGGAAAAGATATGGAGGTCAAAGATAATAGGAAAAACAATACTAATGGAGATTTGAGAGCTTCAGTGAAGACGACAATGGCGGAAATAGAAGAGAAGGTTCTAGAGAGAATTTTCTATTTGAGAGAAAAACTGGCCTGTATTATTGAAGCTCTGTTTATACAATGAGCTGATACTATGTATATATACACCTCTACAATTGCATCTAATCTACAGCTCTCACATCACCTAAACTAACCAATTTCATAATTAGTTATAACTAACTAATCCTTCTTAACCGACTTAACTACACTCACGTGATTGGCACGTGATTACTCCTATCTTCAACATTCCCCCTCAAGCTAGATGGTGTAACCAAGTTCAGCACCCCTAGCTTGCCTATCAGGTAATCATGTTGCGATCTTCCTAGGGCCTTTGTGAACAAGTTTGCTTCTTGATCTCTAGACATCACATATCTTGTTTTTGATAATTCCTTGTTGGATTTTTTCTCCGATGAAGTGAAAGTCTATTTCTATATGCTTCGTTCGTTCGTGGAATATAGGATTTGCAGCAATTTGGTTTGCTGCCTTGCTATCACAGTGCAGCTCCACTGGCAATTCAACCTCTGCACCCAGTTCCTTGCATAATCCTGTCAACCAAAGAATCTCTGAGACTGTAGCAGCCATGCTCCTGTACTCAGCTTCTGCTGAGCTTCTTGATATCGTGCACTGCTTCTTTGACTTCCAAGATACCAAAGAGTCTCCTAACTTCATCACATACTCTGTCAATGACTTTCTGGACACTAGACATGATGCACAGTCAGCATCACAAAATGCTATGAGTTTTGGGCACTGTTTTGAGCTCATCAACAGACCAAGACCTGGTGCCCCTTTTATGTACCTTACAACTCTTATTGTTGCCTCCATGTGTGACCTCTTTGGACATTGTACATAAATTGGCTCAACACATGCACTGCATAACAAATGTCTGGCCTTGTCATAGTGAGGTACAACAGCTTCCCAACCAATCTTTGGTATAGCCCTGCATCTGGCAGCTTCTCATTATCTTTCAGCTCCAAGTGTTGATCATATTCTACTGTTGTGCATCTCTGATTGCATTCCATTGGAGTGGCTACTAGTTTTGATCCTGCCATTCCAAGATCAGTGATCAATTCCATTGCAAATTTTTGTTGATTCATCAGTATTCCTTATCTTGATCTTACTATCTCAATTCCCAGAAAAAATTTCAGCCCCCCTAAGTCTTTAATCTTGAATTTGCTTTGCAATATAGACTTTGCTTCTGAAATTAGGTAATGATCATTCCCAGTTATGAGGAGATCATCCACATATAATAGAATGATCACTAGACTGATCCCTTGCCTTTTTGTAAACAAGGAATAATCAAATCGACTCTACACAAATCCTGAATTGATCAAGGCCTCGATTAGTGTCAAATTCCATTGTCTTGAAGCTTGCTTCAATCCATAGAGGGATTTACGCAGCCTATATACTTTCTCCCCCTGGTTGTGAAATCCCTGGGGCAAGCACATATACACTTCTTCTGTAAGGTCACCCTGAAGGAAGGCATTGTATACGTCCATCTGATGCAAATTCTAATTATGTGATGCTGCTAATGCAAGAACCACTCTGTTTGTTACCATTTTGACTACAAGAGAGAAAGTCTCATGGTAGTCGAGGCCTTCAATCTGGTTATACCCTTTTTCAAACCAAACGAGCTTTGTATCTTTCAACTTCCCCATTTGCTCTATATTTTATCTTGAATACCCATTTGCAACCAATGAAAACGTTCCCTGTTGGAAAATCTACCAAGGACCATGTCTCATTTTCTTTGAGGGTATTCAACTCTTATGTCATAGCTTCTACCCATTGAGGATCTGCTGATGCTTCTTCATAGCTACTAGGTTCCTTCAAGCTAGTTATCTTGGAAAGATAAGATTTGTACTTGACTGAAATACCATCATGGCTCAAAAAATATTGCATTGGGTACTTGCAAGATGATTGTAAAGTTGAGCTTGTCAATGAACCATTGCACACATAGTCCTGCATCTAGGCAGGTTCTTTCACAGTCCTGCTTGATTTTCTGAGCTGATTGTCTGAGTGGGAAAGATGAACTATTTCTGAGAGTATTCCTTCTAGCTGTTGTGGCTGTTGTGTTTCTTCAAAATCTGGTGAAGGCAAATATGGTGATTCTACAGCAGGTAGTATCTCATGTTGGAATGCATCTGCAGAAGGAGGACTTGCAGCTTCATGTGTAGGATCTGCATCTGTAGATCTGTAGATGAAAGATATGGTGTTGTTGTGTCATTGCTGGTGACAGATTCTATTACTCCATTGGGAAAAACCTACAACTTTCCTTCCTTTAAAATCTGGAAAGGAAACATGTTCTCCATGAACTTTACATCCCTGCTTACAAAAAAAGCATTAGTCAAGAGATTATATAGTCTATATCATTTCTGAGATGAAGAATATCCTATATGAACAGTGTTGATACCCAATTTTTTTTTATGTATTTTTATGCACAAAATGCTTTTAAAATAACATGTATATACATATATAAGCATGCCCAAGTATTTTGGTATTTTTTCCTAATTTTTAAAGATTTTTAAAATTAATTTATTGTCTATTTTAGCAGTATAAAGACCAATAATTACTTCCAAAATCATCAATTTTGGTGAATAGTTTATTTTACTCCCATATTTATACTAAAATATAGTTAAGGTAATTTTATATATTTTTACAAATTTATTTAGTATTTAAAAGACTAAATTGCATATAATTGCAATTATAGCCCACTTTAAGATTAATAGCATTTTATAATTGTAAAATTGGGTCCAGCATTTTTAGATCAATATTTATATACTATTAATTGTATCAGTACTTTTAATTTGCTGTTAAAATTATCTTCACTATTTTTATAAAATAAAAAGGTGAAATTGGCTATTTAATATTTAGCCCATCTTTATTTCAATAACAGCCCCATTACATATCAATTGTACCCTTAATTTGACTCAATTAAACCAGCCCAATTCCATTTGGACTCAACCCACGACCCAATTCCAAATGACGCGCCCGGTTCCTACTGTTGATCCAAGTCGTTGATCATTTTGATCAACGGCCATAAACCACGCTTACCTTTTTTAACTCCAAACGACTACCTTAATCCTTCATTTCCATCTCTCAGCCACCTTTGAAACCTCTCGTCTCTCAAACTCTCCACCCTAGCCTCCTTCTACCCCTCTTCAACTACCACATCATCGGAATCCATGGCTTCTCAGGCCATTGATGGTTGGTACTCACTCCCTTCTATCAGTAAACCATGGTTGTTCGAAGCTTCGAGACCTGACCTCGATGGTTCTCCTTCAAATCCTTCTCAGATCTGTAGATCTATGGCTTCTCCAGCCATTACTCCGGCATATTCAAGCACTATGAGCCTTTTTAAATGGCATCATCTTCTTCTTCTTTGAGTACTTCACAGTTTCCTTGGTGGAACTACAAAGTCTTTCTAAGTTTTAGAGGTAAAGATACTCGAAGGACATTTACAGGTTACCTCTTCAAAGGCTTGGAAAATACTTGAAGGACATTTACTCGTGGGATCAGTTCTTGCCTTTAGCAGAGTTTGCCTACAACAACAACTACCAGTCGAGTATCCAGATGGCTTTTTATGAAGATTTATATGGTAGGCGGTGTCGATCTCCGGTTGGGTGGTTTGAGCCGGGAGCGGCTCGATTGTTGGGTACAAATTTGGTTCAGGAGGCCATGGACAAGGTCAGGATCATTCAGGATAGGCTTCGTACAGCTCAGTCTAGGCAAAAGAGCTATGCGGATCGTAAGGTTCGAGATGTAGCTTTCATGGTTGGTGAGCGGGTATTGCTCCGAGTGTCGCCTATGAAGGGCGTGATGAGATTTGGGAAGAAGGGCAAGCTTAGCCCTAGGTTCATTTGCCTGTTTGAGATTCTTGAGCGAGTGGGAGATGTGGCTTATAGACTTGTATTTCCGCCTAGCTTATCAATTGTGCACCCAGTTTTTCATGTGTCCATGCTCTGGAAATATCACGGAGATCCAGCCCACGTGTTAGATTTCAGCACTGTCCAGTTGGACAAGGACTTGTCTTACGAGGAGGAGCCAGTAGCTATTCTACACTGGCAGGTTCGTCAGTTGAGATCCAAGAGTTTTCCTTTTGTTCGTGTTCAGTGGAGAGGTCAGCCTCCTGAGGCTTCGACCTGGGAGTCTGAGTCCGATATGCGGAGCCGTTGTCCTCATCTATTCCCCGACTCAGGTACTTCCTTCTTCTGTCCGTTCGATGACGAACGGTTATTTTAGAGGTGGAGAATGTGATGCCCCAAAGGGTTATCACCTATTTTCTTATCTATTCCGAGCTTTTAAGGCCTTGAAAACTTCATTAATGGTCGCCTCGATTTGCGTGCATAGTCCGGGAGCGTAGCCGGGAGCTCAAATATGAAATTCTGTGAAAATTTGCTAAGTCTTGATATTAAAATGAATAAATTTGACTTCGGTCAACATTTTGGGTAACGGACCCGGACCCGTGATTTGACGGTCCCGAAAGGTCGTAGGAAAATATGGGACTTGGGCGTATGCCCGGAATCGAATTCTGAGGTCCCAAGCCCGAGAAATGAATTTTTGAGTAAAATTGTTTTCTGAAAATATCTAAGAAAAATGAAAATAAAATTTGATTAGAAAGTGATGGTATCGGGCCCGTATTTTGGTTCTGGCATCCGGTACAGGTCTTATATATGGTTTAAGCACTTTCTGTAAAGTTTGGTTGAAAACGGACATCGTTTGACGTGTTTCGGACTTAAAATAGAAAATTTGATGTTTTATGAAATTTGGAAGAAATCATGGATTTTAAGGCTTAATTCGTTGTTTATGACGTTATTTTGGCGATTTTATCGCACGGTTAAGTTCGTAGGATGTTTTTTAGTTGGTATGCATGTTTGGTTAGGAGCCCCAAGGGCTCGGGAGTATTTCGTAGGTGTTTCGGGATGATTTCAGACTTAGGAAAATGTGCATATTTTGGCTTCAGCTGTTGCAGGCCTATTTCTTAATCGCGTTCGTGACGCCTCTTTCGCGTTCGCTTAGCCTTGAGTTTTTCCTTCATTGTGTTTGCATCAGTGACCTCG